GGAGCTCAGCTGTGGCGCTGCAGGGCGCCTTGTAAGGCAATCCCTGAGCCACTGCCTCCCTCCTCGCTTGTGTCTACTGATTCCTGCAGTCTGGCCGGGTGCTCAAGGCCTGGCTTGGTGGCCTCAGGGCCTTTGCACCACCAGGGTCTCACATCAAGAAGTCTCTTCACCCACTTGTTGCCATTGCTCCCTGCCTCCCGGCCTCTGCTTTCATAGCTACTCCACTGCCAGGCCAGCCAGGCCATGTGCCCCTCAGTAGAGTTCTTCCCTCATCCCTGGACTCTACCACCCTACCACCGCCACTGCCTGAGTGCCCATGAGCACCCAACAGGCTCTTCTGCCTGCACCTGGGACCCCTCCCTCAGTTTCTGCTGCCAGCAACACAGCTTCCCTTCCTGGGGCTGGAAGGCTCCCAGCCCTCTCCAGTCCATGAGTGGGTTAGGGACTGCTCCACCCCTCTCCACCTGCCCTCCAGCCACCACTTTCCAAACCCAGCGATCCTCTATCCCCAGCCACTGCGGCCTCGCTGGGCCTGGGGCTCATCCTCGCAGCCTGTACCACAGGCCTCTGTCCGAAACAGAAATCTCAGCTCGAGGCCCCAGCCCCAGCTGCTCATCTACACAGCATGGGGTTTCTTTGTGAACTGTGAGGCTGCAAAGGACAAAATAGGGACCCAAGTGGCGTGCCAAGGCGCTGCAGATAACTGCTCATCGTACTGTCAGCTACAGTGCAGCTCCTTGCTCAGGCTGGAAGGGGCTGGCTGTGGACAGAATTGTGCTGTGGATCCCACCAGCGGGGCGTTTCTGCAATGGACCACTTCCCCTGAGCTGGTAGTCACTGAGGACCCGCAGCAGGATGGGCCAAGGGCGGAAGTAGGTCCCCACCACCTGAGAGGCAGAGGCACATGGGCCCTACTCACAAGCTATTTCCACCTCCTTGGCCTCGTGTAAAAACTAATCATGTGCCTGGCATGGTGATGCACACCTTCTGTCCCTGCTACCCTGGAGGCTGACGCAGCAACACCCCTTGAGCCCAGGAGGAGCTCAAAGCCAGCCTGAGCGACATGGCGAGACACCATCTCAAAATTTTAAAAGTACCAGCTGTGGAAGCACAGGCCTGGTATCCCAGCACTTGGGAGGCTGAGGCAGGAGGATTGCCATGAGTTGGCGGCCAGCCTGGGCTACACAGTAAGTCAAGACCAGCCTGAGTTACATAGTGAGACCCTGCCTCAAAATAGGGGAGAGGGGCTCAACCTGGTGGCGCAAAACTGTAACCCCAGCACTCGGCAGGCTGACACAGGAGGATCACTGAGAGTTCAAGGTTACACAGTGAGTTCAAGGCCAGTTTGAACTAGTGAGAGTGACTCAAAAAACAAAAACAATGACGCATAATGAAATGTTTAGCCAGGCGTGATGGCATATGCCTGTAATCCCTGCACCCTGAGGGCTGAGGCAGGAGGGTCATCACGAGTTCAAAACAACGAGTTCAAAACAACGAGTTCAAGGCCTGGGCTACACAACAAGTTCAAGGCCAGCCTGGACTGCATAGAAAGACCCTGTCTCAAAAACAACAACAAAAATGTCACGAGGTGAAGTAGAACATGGGTCAAACGACAATCAGCCTATAGGATTACAGGTGTTAGCTGCTTAGCTACTATCGAGCCAATAGGGAAGCGGGTCACGTAGCGAGGGTGCATGGACGGAACAAAGGCATTTTGGGGAAGGGAGGGTCCAGATGCTCTGGTCGCACAGCTGCGGGACTGATGCCTGTCTGGACTTCCTGGGCCAGGTGGTACGATTACAGTATAATTCCAGGTTACCGCTCATCCCCCAGGGAGGCAGATCTATCCTCGCATCTTTATCCTGAGGCCTGGCCTTCAAATGCACCTTCAGCCACAGTTCTGATGTCTTTATTTTTTTCTGCTGACTTCCTTGACAGCCCAGTCCCTTTCTTTTTCTTTTTTTTCCATTAAGTTTATTGGTAGTTTTTAGGTATACAGTACAGTTACATTCATCATTGGGATCTTGTACCTTTGCATGATGTATCTTGGTTCTTATTTTTTCCCCATTCCCCTGCCCTCCCTTCACCCCCTCCACCCTTCCCTATTTACAAAGACTTTGTTTCCAATTTTTCATTTTCTCATATTTATTCCTTTCCCCTCTTTCCTTTCCCCAACACCTTCCCCTTCCCCTTTAGACTTTTTCTTCCTATTTCACATTACCTATTATACATTTGGATCCTTATTTACACTTTCAGTTTTTCACACCAGAGAAACTATTAGGTATTTACAGGGTTGTTTCCAAGTTTTAGCTATTACAAACTGTGCCACTATGAACATGGGTGCGCATACGTCTCTGTGATATGATTCTTTTAGTTCTCTTGGAAAGATACCCAGCAGAGGGATGGCTGGGTCAAATGGAACCTCCAGTCCAAGCTCTTTGAGGTATCTCCATATTGATTTCCATAGTGGTTGCACTAGTCTGCACTCCCACCAAATTTGGGAAGCTACCCAGCAAAGCCCAGTCCCTCCCTTTCTTACTGTATATATTAAGAAATATATACTTAATATATAACTATATTATATATATATGAGGCTGAGGCAGGAGGATCACCACAAGATTGAGGCCTGCCTGGGCCTCAACAAAAAAGTGAGGGCTGGGGATTTAGCTCAGTGGTTCCAGTGCCTGCCTTGCAAGCACAAGGTCTCGAGTTCGATCCCTGGTACCAAAAAAACAAACAAATAGAAAACCCAGAAAAACAAAACACACATGGGTATTGTGTGGTGGTGGTGGTCATCATAAATAAAGAACTTTCTAAAATCCTTTCAGGGGACACCTTACACAAAAATTAACTTGAAACGGGCCTTGGACCTGACTATAAAACTTCTTAGAAGCACCAGGGATAGTGGTGCACACTTGTAATCCCAGATACTCAGGAGGCTGAGGCAGAAGGACCTCAAGTTTGATAAGGCCAACCTTGGCAATTTAGTGAGGCCCTGTTTTAAAATAAAAAATAAAAAGAGCTGGGACTCCATAGCTCGATGGCGGAGCACTTGCCTAGCATGTACGAGGCTCTGGGTTCCATCCCCAGGACAGTCTGTTACTTTGGGCTTCATATAATATGAAAAACATGATCCATGAAAGAAAAAAATGACAAATTGCATTGCAACCAAATTTAAAATGTATGTTTTTGTTTGTTTGATTGTTTTAGGGCCTTGCTATGCAATCCAGGCTGGCCTTGAACTCACTATGTAGCCCAGGGTGGCCTCAAACTAGGAGCAATCCTCCTGCCTTAGCCTCCCAAGTGCTGGTGCTGGGATGACAGGCGTGTACCACCACGCCCAGCTAAAAATGTTTCTTCTGCAAGCAACACTAGTGAAAGAATAAGAAGATAAATAACAGGCTGGGGGAAAACCTTTTTTGGGGGAGGGGACAGGCTCTCGTTTTGAAGAACAGGCTGGCCTTGAATACACTATGTCACCCAAACTGGCTTTGAACTCACCTAAATCCTCCTGCCTCAGCTTCCGGAGTGCTGCGATTTCAGGCTTGTGCCACCACACCCTGCCAGGAAAAATCTTTTTAAATACAAAAGGACTGGTATCTAAAATATGCAAAGATTCAACTGGGCGTGGTGAGACACACTTATAATCCCAGCACAAGAGAGGCTGAGGCAAGAGGACTGCAAGTTCAAGGCCAGCCTGGGCCACATAGTGAGATCCTGCCTCAAAAAACAAAAGAGAGAGGAGAGAGTGTACTCTTAAAACTCAATGGGAAAAAAACCTAGTTTATTTAAATGCGCAAAAGATCCACAGATTTGAAATATCAAAAAACTATTTCAGGGCAGCCTGGACTACATAGCAAGACCCTGTCTTT